CCAACTGGGCGGCAGCTTTTCAGTCATGTGCTCCACACCCACCCAACTGGGCGGCAGCTTTTCAGTCATGTGCTCCACACCCACCCATCTGGGCGGCAGCTTTATAGTCATGTGCTCCACACCCACCCAACTGGGCGGCACCTTTATAGTCACGTGCTCCACACCCACCCAACTGGGTGGCACCTTTATAGTCATGTGCTCCACACCCACCCAACTGGGTGGCACCTTTATAGTCATGTGCTCCACACCCACCCAACTGGGCGGCACCTTTATAGTCACGTGCTCCACACGCACCCAACTGGGCGGCAGCTTTTCACTCGTGTGCTCCACACCCACCCAACTGGGCGGCAGCTTTTCACTCATGTGCTCCACACCCACCCAACTGGGCGGCAGCTTTTCACTCATGTGCTCCACACCCACCCAACTGGGCGGCAACTTTTCACTCATGTGCTCCACACCCACCCAACTGGGCGGCAACTTTTCACTCATGTGCTCCACACCCACCCAACTGGGCGGCAACTTTTCACTCATGTGCTCCACACCCACCCAACTGGGCGGCAACTTTTCACTCATGTGCTCCACACCCACCCAACTGGGCGGCAACTTTTCACTCATGTGCTCCACACCCACCCAACTGGGCGGCAACTTTTCACTCATGTGCTCCACACCCACCCAACTGGGCGGCAACTTTTCACTCATGTGCTCCACACCCACCCAACTGGGCGGCAGCTTTTCACTCATGTGCTCCACACCCACCCAACTGGGCGGCAACTTTTCACTCATGTGCTCCACACCCACCCAACTGGGCGGCAACTTTTCACTCATGTGCTCCACACCCACCCAACTGGGCGGCAACTTTTCACTCATGTGCTCCACACCCACCCAACTGGGCGGCAACTTTTCACTCATGTGCTCCACACCCACCCAACTGGGCGGCAACTTTTCACTCATGTGCTCCACACCCACCCAACTGGGCGGCAACTTTTCACTCATGTGCTCCACACCCACCCAACTGGGCGGCAGCTTTTCACTCATGTGCTCCACACCCACCCAACTGGGCGGCAACTTTTCACTCATGTGCTCCACACCCACCCAACTGGGCGGCAACTTTTCACTCATGTGCAGGCTGCACCTGCAGCCAGGAAATTTTGGATTCTTGGCTAAGATTCCTGGCAGTACATCAATATGAATGAAGTACTTACACATTTCTTGGACACCAATGATGGTTGCGACTTTTTCACATTCCATTATATAATGACGCAAAGCATGTAAACAGTTCTGCTGAAAGTTTACATTTAGTCAGATCTACATCAGCAGATGTTACGAACTCCCAGAGGTACTTGTAGCCGAGCCTAAGCCTAGCAGTGGTAATTATAATTATTTTTTTTAGTCTTCTAACCTTACTGGACAGACGATCCGCATCTCTCACTGGGTTGAGATGCCAATACGGGCCAGAAATTCTTATTACATAAAAATTCGACGATTAAAAAAATAATTATGCTTACAGTCAGGCAAATATAATCCACCTACGTATACACTGTAAGGGGGGGGGAGTTAATTGCCCTATTTACGTGAATTTGTATGATAAAAATTCAGTTTTCGTAACAAAATATTGCCATCTCACGTATTTTTCCAAATATTTCAATGATTTTATTTTTTGGGGAGATAAAATGGTCCCTTCATAAGTCACTAGAGACTGTTACCTTCAAGGATCCTTCACAAATCTCTGTACTCCCTAGAGATTATGATCAGGGTATATCGCTTCACAAGTCACTAGAAACTGTAGTCTTCAGATACCCTTCAGATAGAACTCCCAGAACCCCATCAACCAACCCTTGTTGTTGACTTGGGGGGGGGGGGGGAGGGGGGCAATCGACGGATCAGATGCTCCCCAGCAGCTCGACTCTGGGGGAAATGGCAAAAGGGGATGGGATCGAATCCCGACAGCCTCTTCAGGCCACGGACATGGCCAATGAAGCAGAAAGTATTTTGAAGGATATCATAACCGGAGGGAACCAGGAGGTGAGAAGATATGGAAGGCCTATTAAGGACACAGTTTCTAGAACCGCTTCCGTCGAGGGGGCCCCCCCCTGCTTTATGGTCGACGTCCATGTGGAGAGCCTCAAAATATACCGGCCAACTTGTGGACGGTAACTTGCGAGGTCCGTAGCATAAAAGGCAGCGAGGAGCGGCAGAGCACACACCCACCATTATCCCGAACTGTATGGCCAGAGCTGCAGCAATTTAAGCAGCAAACTACATTATAACGTGTGAGGCGACTGTGGCCCAATAGAAGGTAAGCATTGCATCGTGACATTTGGTTAGACCTGATATGAGGCCCTATGGAGCGTCATCCAGTTGGGGAGAAGCCCATAAAAACTTAATGTGAACCACGGACGTCGGCCCGCTTCTTCGTGAATCCTATTAACTTCTCACCAATGTACCCCAAACACCTTCAAAGCATCCCAAAATGTCATCCACGACAAAACTCGAATCAACTGGCTCGAGCTTCCCATATCAAGCCCGAGAGAGTACCTTAAGCGACAGTACCAGTCGACACCTGATATGCCGATTGATTGATTGATAAAGATTAAGCCACCCAAGAGGTGGCACGGACATGAATAGCCCGTAAGTGGTACAATTTTTTTTTTGTTTTTTCTCAGTATTCTGAGGTTGCATTTAACCATCAAGCTGTTATCGCGGGGGAGGATACTGCTTCACAGTCTTTATGAGGGTGTCCAGCTGCTGGACACCTTTGTTGACCAGGAGAGTGACTGTGTTGATGGCTTCAGGGTGGCCACTGCATGATTCAGGAACTCTTAAAGCTCTTCTAAGGTCATTGGTTGCTTCACATTCCAGAAGATAGTGAAGTAATGGCTTTTCTGTGACAGTTTGGCAGAAGATGCACTCTGTCGGGGTTCACCAATCTCCCAGTTGCATCTGTAACCTAGACGTAGTCTATATAGCCTAACTGCTATTTCCCTGTGGATTCCTTTTGGGATATTTAACCTTTCTAATTTGGTTGCCTGAAGATACCATGTTGCAGATGGCGAACCTTCAGCTATTCTCTGGTGTAGGTAGGCTTTGTTGAGATGTGAGAGTTTTTTGGTGATGTTTTTTGTTCTCTAGGCTGGGTTGAATTGTTTTATGTATCACTGGATGACGAGTTGCCAATTTAGCAATTTCATCAGATTTTTCATTTAATGGGATTCCAATATGGGATGGGATCCAGTTTAAAGTTATGTTGAGTCCTTTGCCTTTAGCGACTGCTCCAAGATACAAAATGGTGGTAATTATTTCCACATTATCTTTCCACTGTTTTTGTCCTAGTATTTGAAGTGCAGCTTTTGAGTGTGTGTATGATTGCATTTTGAGTGTTTTGTGCAATCACATATGCGAATGCCTGTTGTATGGCAAACAGCTCAGTTTGGGTTGATGATACTAGTCCTCCCAGTCGCCAATATGCCTGAACGCTGGTCGTGCAAAGAGCAGCGCCAGCACTCATTTTCTGTGTCCACCGATCCGTCTGTGAAGATGTGGGTGGCTCCTGCTACTGCTATGCTATACATTTGCTCTTCTATTATGCGCCTTAGGATTGTTGATCATAGGCAGCCTTTTTCATTGGGAAACTTTCTATTACTATTTTGAAAGTAGGCTCTTCCCACGGCGCGGAAGGAGTGTAATTTGGGTGTGGATGATCACCCTCTATCAAGAATCATGTTTTTTAAATGTAGTCTGTTTAGGATTTTTCCTGCTCTTGCAACCCAAGAGTTTCCATTGTTTTGGCCTAGTCCAACCACCAAGGCCTGCCGTACTGGGATTGGATCAGAAGAAATAATTATCTTAATGATAATTGTAGCTGTCCTTTGTGATATTCTTTCTTGTAGAGAGGGCAAACCCGTCTCCAGTCTAAGAGTTTCAAGCCTGGCTGATACGCCAGTCCCTTAATGCGATAATGTCCACACGCCAGACGAACAAAGACGCCTGTACCTTTATATATAGTTACAACACCACACTCCTACCAGGGGTACGCATGGTATTAGGCAGGTGATGGGACCGCAGAACTGAAGCCCTACACGTTGCATTCAAGGTACAGGGATTCGTAAATACATACATACCAATAATTGACTTAATGAGGACACCCACAAACAAGGAAATTGGCACAACTGGAAGATCCTCTGTCGGTGAGAGCACCCTCTTAGCATCTCGCTCTGGGACAGTGTCCACCGGCCCATTCTCCAATAATCGTTTACCAGTCGGTGACCGGAGCACATGCCCAGGGAGGCACCCATAAGAGAGGCTCTGGCCTCCGTCGGTACGGCGAGAGCTTCCTGGATAACTGCTGCCAGTATAGATGGGCCCAAGGAAACTAGCTACATCCCGAGACCAGCACCACACGTATTGAGGAGAAACTCCTGAATGCTGCACGCACAACCAGGTGTTGACACTGTTAGAAGACTTTTTGAAAGACCCTTCACAAACCACCAGACTTCTCAAAGGCTTCAGGTTCGGTCTCTTCACAAGCTACTAGAGAATGTAGTCATTCAGGGATCATTTGCAATCAATTACAGACTCAGGCGTTACGTTACAAGCTTCCAGAGACCGTGAACTTGTGGCACTAACTTTCACGGACCCTTCACAAGCAACAAAGGGTGTGGTCGTTAAGGACTCTTCACAAGCCACCAGAGGATCTGGTTCTCAAGAACTCTTCACAAGCCACCAGAGGCTCTAGCCGTCAGGGACCTTCATTGACCACTAGATGCTGAGCCAACATGGACTCGTCATAAGCTTCAGGCACTAAGACTGGCGATAACCATTAACACTACGAACGACAAATAAATGTAATTATTGTGTTGAAAAATAACTTGAACTAACCAACGTATTTTATATAATATATTTGACATTAATGAAATAAACTAATTTGAGTAACCTTTTGTTGAAAAATTTAAATATAAACGTGTTTATATTTATTAAAGATATCATACAAGTCCTTTACTCACATATGACGTTGAGAGAAATGACGGTTGGTGGTGAAGGACCAAATAGTCCTGTTCTGGTGCAACTGTACACTCCCGAGTCGTGTATGGGGTCAACCTTCAGGTTCTTTTGTACAATCTCTCCAGACTTTTTGTCAGTTATGTGGTTGCCAGTCTGTAACACGTAAACAGAAGATTATAATATTCAAGTTGTAATAATATTACAAAGTGTTCAAAGTTTTACAAATTATTGGTTTTGGATATTTTCATAGTAGCAGTCTCATTGCGCATGCGTGTCCGTCGAGGGCTGAATTCAGCCCCTTCACAACCCGAAGGCGCTGACGGCGACGACCACGAGGGGGACGAGTAAATGTGTCTACCCGGAGGACAGAATGGCCCTGGGCCTCAAGGATAATGGTGAATATCATCGTGGCAGTCCTGCAGATTCCGAACACCGGTTGCAACATGGGGCGGGAGGAGAATAGTGCCAACACTGGCATTCAACCGAGCGTTCTTGGAGACCCGAACAGGGATCTCACCAAGGCAGGATAAGGCAGCCAAGCGGGAAGCTGCACCCTGAGAAGGAGCAGCAACGACACGTGTACCGAGACGAGTGGGGTTGAAGGCGACAGAGGCATCTACGGAATCAACAAGATGCCCATGAAGGGAGAAATCGTCAGGAGGCGCAGAATCAAGAGGGAGGAGATAAAAGTATTTGGCCCACGAAGCGGGACCAAACAAGGCTTGATAGGTTTTCGTTGCCTTGTGGGGTTGAATGTTAGACACAGTAGGCGCTTCTGTAGTTTTATTGATTAAGACAACAAGGTGTATAACTGGCCAGCCGAGGTCCACCGACTCTGGGTCTGAGAGAGAGAACCGAGCCTGCTGGGAGCACGGCTGGTGACTGTCTAGCATGACGTCAGAGGCCTACTTGCCTGTGATTGGTTATGTCTCAATGGAAATAAAAGTGTGAGTATAACATAGGCATCAGAACGGGAAGGAATCAAGCGAGTGCAGCCGTGTCGAGGACGGCGTTGAGAACCCCCAGAGAGAGAAGGGTGAAAAGGCGCAGTAGTCACAACTAGAGACTGAGCCGTGCCAGGGGACGAAGGGGTCACCACCGGGGGCTTGGGGCTCGACCCAACCACAGAGGAGGGAGGGGAGCCGAGGGGAATAGTCAGGAGTGTCAAAGGAGGAGCAAGGTCGGGGCCCAATGCAGCGGGGGCTACAGAGCCTGTAGTCTTCCAATACAGTCCGACTCGGGGGCTTGGTCGCCCACCCCCACGAGCCTGAGAGGGTGCAAGAGGAACATTCAGCAACACAGACACGAAAAGAAACTTTCACTCACGAATGTGCCCCCATACCCACCATGGAGCCCAATTAGAGGCAGGACACCCAACAGGAAGCTATCGCCGATCATGCCGGGGCCTCCTAGGGGTGCGTCGTGAGTATACGCCCCACAAACGCCACCTTAAGAACCGTCAGCCCGTCAAGAGCGGGTTCAGCGACGAAAGGGGGATTGACAATAAAAGGTTCCCCCTCGCTCTCTACGCCGGGTACTACAGTTCTACGGGTGCAAGAGTATGCCTCCTCAAGCACCCGGGCGTCAAAATAGAAGTCCAAGGGAATAACCAAATCAAGCAAAAGGTCAAGAGAAAACGACAAGCCGATAAGAGAAGAGGGGACGGGGGGGAAAACGAAACAGAAGGAAAAGGAAAAGTTGTTCAGCAAAATTTGAGAGGACAGCAGCAGGAGCACAAGACCACAAAAGAAAAGAAGACTGTCCCAAGGAGCATCTCACACTCCGGCAGCCACCCACCAAGACCCTCCACAGCAGCAACGAGCTGGACAAGTAGTGGGGTCGTCCCCTCCATATACAATATATATATACAATATATATATATATGTCAATATATATATATATGTTGAAAATATAAATATATTGGCGAAGGGTATTGTCTTTTTTATTCTCCCCCCCCCCTTTATTTATGCATTGCACTACTGCTTGACACAAGGCCAATTCTTGAAAGGTTACTACCGACTTGGGGTCAGTTATAGAAAAAGAGGTGATAACACGCCCAGTTACTGCCCCATAGTCGACGTAACATAGGCCATGTACACAAAATATCATCAACATATCTAAACCATGGAATGATTCTTGGGGAATTTTTGGAACAAATTTCTTACAAGCTCGAATCAAGCCAACAATGAGATAAAGACATTTATAAGTGTGGGTACACCTCACTCTACGAGTCGCCCAACACCCCCATAATCGTAGGGAGCGGCGAAGGGTAGAGTGAGGAGATTGTCGCCTAACTCCGGCTTCTAGCCGTCTACCAGGTGTTACATCTTCCCTCTGGGTCAATGGAGGACCATCGAAGAGTTATATGCTCGAAGTCGAGTTCATCTGGATGTTGATTACTGGTGTCAGCTCCCAAATAAACACAACCTCCAGTATACGAAGCTTCCTAAGGTCATCATTGTGTGCGATTTTTTTCGTATCTTTCACGATACGATATGACAAGAGGCACCCACTATTGTTTTGAAAGTTACGACATTCACGTGAATATATGCTGGTTTACATTGTAAAGGTGTGGCCACGTCTGTGGAAGGGAAAAAATAATTACTTATCAGTGAGAAGTATTAGGTGATAAGAAACATGCTCAACCAGTTCTTTTCCGGCCGAGAATCTTGCCAGGACTCCCCGATTGTGAGTAGAGATCAAAGCCAACTGTTATTTGTACTTACCTTATTAGAGCCCACAGGTATCGTCCAATTAAGACCAATATAAAAATGTGGTGACTTGTTAGTAGAGCAGGTGAGGTGGACAGAGTGCCCTTCGACCACGTCGTAGCAACTCTCGGCATCACATTTCTCTAGGCGGTTGTTCTGCCAGGCATCAGGAACTTTCACCTTTGGACTATTCTCATAGGCCGCTGCAAAACCTGGTTGGGATGACAGGTGTTAGCTCAGCAACCCTACCTCATGAATAGTACATTGCAAATTTACATACAAAGGCCCCCCCTAAGACCAAAAATGAATGTACTAATAATCCTACCCACTTACAAGTTTTACGTGATGTCCCTTTTTCAATTCATAGATCCTCACCTAGGTTAAGTTAGGGCAACTTGATACACCAGTCTAATGACGTTGGGAAAACTGGGGAGGACTGGACGAGCAGAGGGGTAATACGTATTGGCAACACATAAGGAGAACGACAGGTGTTGGGAGCTGGCAGACAGATGGGTAATGTTTGTTGGAACTACAGATGTTATTAGCACACATGTTATTACCTATAACATGTGTGGTTGTGGTGGAGGCACGGTAGTGACGAGTAGTAGGGATGACGCCTTAGCCAAAAATAAATTTTTTGGAGTGCATTTGTCGCTAAGGCATCGGGGGTGTCAGATAAACTTCCCATATGTCAACATGCCGCCAGGGGTTCCACGTAAACTCTACGGACAATTTTTGTTCGATTTCAAATACTCATTTGGAGTTAAAGAATTCACATGAGAAAAAAATGTCAGATCATAGACGTTTCTTATCAAAGCCAGGGCAAAGTCCGCTACCATCTTACTGAGAATAAAATCTACGGTCATAAACATATTTTAGAACGTTTGCTTTAAGTAAAAATTGCTACTTACAAACCAGTATTTCTATACAAGTAAAAAATTTGCATTACCAGGCTACATCAGTCATTAATTACCCAGCCTACCCCTCATACAACCCCCTTGCGTCACCTTTCCTAGCAACCCCTCCCCAACCACTGTGCCAGACGCCGCCGTCAAGCCTGTCATAATATCAGGTCAGCCCCTGCCCATACCCCCCTCTCTACCCGTTACCTTACACCCTCTACCTGTTTCAACTTCATACCCCCCAATCTCACACCCCCCTCATCGTTGTTTTGACATCATACATTCATATTTTCTTACAGCTATTATATATATATATATATATATATATATATATATATATATATATATATATATATATATATATATATATATATATATATATATATATATATATATATATATATATGTGCAAACAAGCCTGAATGGTCCCCAGGACTATATACAACTGAAAACTCACACCCCAGAAGTGACTCGAACCCATACTCCCACAACTGGTATGTACAGGGACGCCTTAATCCGCTTGACCATCACGACCGGACATAAGGAAGTGATAGCCGAGGCTATATGAACCACTTCCCCGCCGGCACTCGGATGGTAATCTTGGGCATAGCATTTTATCAAATCACCTCATTCTTTGGGGCACACGTGAGGAACACAAATGCAAACAAGCCTGAATGGTCCCCAGGACTATATACAACTGAAAACTCACACCCCAGAAGTGACTCGAACCCATACTCCCACAACTGGTATGTACAGGGACGCCTTAATCCGCTTGACCATCACGACCGGACATAAGGAAGTGATAGCCGAGGCTATATGAACCACTTCCCCGCCGGCACTCGGATGGTAATCTTGGGCATAGCATTTTATCAAATCACCTCATTCTTTGGGGCACACGTGAGGAACACAAATGCAAACAAGCCTGAATGGTCCCCAGGACTATATACAACTGAAAACTCACACCCCAGAAGTGACTCGAACCCATACTCCCACAACTGGTATGTACAGGGACGCCTTAATCCGCTTGACCATCACGACCGGACATAAGGAAGTGATAGCCGAGGCTATATGAACCACTTCCCCGCCGGCACTCGGATGGTAATCTTGGGCATAGCATTTTATCAAATCACCTCATTCTTTGGGGCACACGTGAGGAACACAAATGCAAACAAGCCTGAATGGTCCCCAGGACTATATACAACTGAAAACTCACACCCCAGAAGTGACTCGAACCCATACTCCCACAACTGGTATGTACAGGGACGCCTTAATCCGCTTGACCATCACGACCGGACATAAGGAAGTGATAGCCGAGGCTATATGAACCACTTCCCCGCCGGCACTCGGATGGTAATCTTGGGCATAGCATTTTATCAAATCACCTCATTCTTTGGGGCACACGTGAGGAACACAAATGCAAACAAGCCTGAATGGTCCCCAGGACTATATACAACTGAAAACTCACACCCCAGAAGTGACTCGAACCCATACTCCCACAACTGGTATGTACAGGGACGCCTTAATCCGCTTGACCATCACGACCGGACATAAGGAAGTGATAGCCGAGGCTATATGAACCACTTCCCCGCCGGCACTCGGATGGTAATCTTGGGCATAGCATTTTATCAAATCACCTCATTCTTTGGGGCACACGTGAGGAACACAAATGCAAACAAGCCTGAATGGTCCCCAGGACTATATACAACTGAAAACTCTCAGTTTGAGTTTTCTTCAGTGTGAGTTTTCAGTTGTATATAGTCCTGGGGACCATTCAGGCTTGTTTGCATTTGTGTTCCTCACGTGTGCCCCAAAGAATGAGGTGATTTGATAAAATGCTATGCCCAAGATTACCATCCGAGTGCCGGCGGGGAAGTGGTTCATATAGCCTCGGCTATCACTTCCTTATGTCCGGTCGTGATGGTCAAGCGGATTAAGGCGTCCCTGTACATACCAGTTGTGGGAGTATGGGTTCGAGTCACTTCTGGGGTGTGAGTTTTCAGTTGTATATAGTCCTGGGGACCATTCAGGCTTGTTTGCATTTGTGTTCCTCACGTGTGCCCCAAAGAATGAGGTGATTTGATAAAATGCTATGCCCAAGATTACCATCCGAGTGCCGGCGGGGAAGTGGTTCATATAGCCTCGGCTATCACTTCCTTATGTCCGGTCGTGATGGTCAAGCGGATTAAGGCGTCCCTGTACATACCAGTTGTGGGAGTATGGGTTCGAGTCACTTCTGGGGTGTGAGTTTTCAGTTGTATATAGTCCTGGGGACCATTCAGGCTTGTTTGCATTTGTGTTCCTCACGTGTGCCCCAAAGAATGAGGTGATTTGATAAAATGCTATGCCCAAGATTACCATCCGAGTGCCGGCGGGGAAGTGGTTCATATAGCCTCGGCTATCACTTCCTTATGTCCGGTCGTGATGGTCAAGCGGATTAAGGCGTCCCTGTACATACCAGTTGTGGGAGTATGGGTTCGAGTCACTTCTGGGGTGTGAGTTTTCAGTTATATATATATGTGTATACTGGCAGCAGGTTTTCTTTCAAACATGTTTCATTGAATATGACCGCATATTCTGTATTTATTATTTTCTGGTTTAGGGCTTCTATCCCTCTAACTATTTTCTTAGCATCAGGGCTTAATTGAAATAGGAGTTCTCCAAAACTCATTTTCGTACTTTTAAGGTGAAGAAAAGAAGTGATTTACTATAGAGTGTATTACACTTATTTATATAATTTGCACGACGTTTCGAACCTCCATGGTTCATTCTCAAGTGAACAGATCTTACAATACTAGTTGATTTTATACCTGCACTGGGTCAGGTGATAATACAATGAAGGTGAAAACATGGGGGGATACATAAGGGATAAATGTGAGGTGAAACATAGAGGCTGCAGAAGGCTCATTGGCCCATACGAGGCATCTATCTAAACAAAGATTAATCCAGTGTAATTGGCCTGTTATGTTGGACATTGTCTTCTGTGTTGGCATCGATATGTTCTTGTCTTGTCCTTACTCTATACTCTTACACTCTTACACTCTTACACTCTTACACTCTTACACTCTTACACTCTTACACTCTATAGTAAATCACTTCTTTTCTTCACCTTAAAAGTACGAAAATGAGTTTTGGAGAACTCCTATTCCAATTAAGCCCTGATGCTAAGAAAATAGTTAGAGGGATAGAAGCCCTAAACCAGAAAATAATAAATACAGAATATGCGGTCATATTCAATGAAATATATATATATATATATATATATATATATGTCGTACCTAATAGCCAGAACGCACTTGTCAGCCTACTATGCAAGGCCCGATTTGCCTAATAAGCCAAGTTTTCCTGAATTAATATATTTTGTCTAATTTTTTTCTTATGAAGTGATGAAGCTACCCATTTCATTATGTAAGATGTCAATTTTTTTTTATTGGAGTTAAAATTAACGTAGATATATGACCGAACCTAACTAACCCTACCTAACCTAACCTAACCTATCTTTATAGGTTAGGTTGGGTAGAAGAAAAAGTTAGGTAGGTTAGGTAGTCGAAAAACAATTCATGAAAACTTGGCTTATTAGGCAAATCGGGCCTTGCATAGTAGGCTGAGAAGTGAGTTCTGGCTACTAGGTACAATATATATATATATATATATATATATATATATATATATATATATATATATATTTTTTTTTTTTTACATCGTAATGTTAATTCCTTTACACTAAAACGAGTCGTCAGATTTGTTTTAGCAATTTTCATCAGAGTCCACTTTGAGACCAAAATATTTCAGATTTTATTGCACCTGCATTCTTAAAGAGTTCTTATGGAGGAAATTCGAATATCAGTCGAGTCCAAAAAATGTTAGTGAATGCATATATAAGTATGGTTTCGCTACTAACAGACCATTTTTTAAACAGTCATATTTCATATGTAAATCAAATCAAGTCAGTAAGCAAGTTCCAGCTCTTGTCCCCGCCTTACTATATCCCCTTTAACACTCTTTACTAACAGTGCAGTCCCCCCAAAAAATTTAGTCATAGTAAATCAATTCAAATGTTGTTAATGAACTCAAGCTCTTGTCACCCACCTTGCTTCCCTCGTATCTTCTAGCGTAACAGAACAATTTCCCCGAATTTTAAATTCTTTGTAATTCAGACATAGTAAAATAGATGCAAAACAATTACCAAACTCACTCTTGTCCCCAACCTTAGTTCATTTGTACAAGTTCTCGAGTACCAGGTCAATTTTCCCAAAATTTAAAGCAGACATACGTGTAACTAAAAGAAAAATAGTGTTTCCGAACTCTACCTT